TAAAATACTTAGCTATATCCATTATTCAGAGAATTAGACCTTGTAGACCAAGCCTACATTTATATTGGTCTGTTGATTCTAACAGGAGTATATCACTTAAAAAATTAGGCTATAAAAAAGTCTATGGGATGCAGAGTCTGGCAGGCCGGCAACCACACACACAAAATTGTAATCAAAATAATGAATCATAAACATAATTATAAAAGAGAAGAACAAACTTATCTTTGAATGGTGCTCCTCAGGGAGTCTGCTTCTTGACCTGTCCCTCTGTAGTTTCTTTCGATTCCAGTCTCAGGTCGTGGTTAAAAAAAAAAAGTTATCTTTTTATTGGTGCTCTCTGTAGAGTCCAGTCAACACCTGCCAGCAGAAGACAAGAGGGAGAAAAAAAAACAATTTAATTCAGCAGCCATTTGCATCAGTACCAGAGATCTACATCTGCCCCGCTATGTCCTGCTATTCAGCTCACAGGTTTGGGTTTTTCACATATTTTGTGTTTTTGTAATAAACAATTGCTAGAGTTACATATGGTTTGATGTTGTATTAGGAAAACGTATATTTCTCATGTTGCTAAAGTTCACATTTGTTTAACTAACCTTGACGGTGTACTTTTCTTGTTGCTTCTGTTGAACTAATATGCTGTCCTGGCAGCATATTAGTTGTGGCAGGAACTCGTTTGATTGTTTTGACTGACTCTCCCAGGTCTCACACTGAATCACGTGGAGCAACGTGATTCAGCCTTGAGTGCTGGTTGGTTGAGAATGAAACTGCATACACTGATCATCCAGAACACAAAAGCTTGCTTGCTTCAGAACTCTTTGGTACTCTCATGCAGACAGCCTGTTGATTCTCTCTGTACCATGAAGCTTAAAAAAAAAGAAAAATAACGAAAAGACAACTCTGGTTTCTGTGGACAAACTTTATTAACAGAAAATTTCCAAAATGTGTTTTCTGGCTCACACACCAATAATTCTAAAAATATTCTAGAACATTCCCATACATTATATGCACCGTGTTATTGACTGTTTAGTACCCATCACTGAGATGCCAGCACACATTTTAGATGCTGATCGTCTGGAATTTGTGCAAAGAGGTCAAGCCTGATTTCAGTTTTCCAAAGACACCCAATGGAAGAGGATTTCATGTCAGCCTTCAATTCAAAACACTTTCAAACGGAGAGAAGATTAACAGAAGTTGGCTGGTGTACTCTCCACACAGTGATGCTGTCTTCTGCTTTTCACTACAAGAGCTATACAGCTAACTACGGATGGCCACAGTGACTGGTCAAACATCAACAACAACAGTTTGAAAGTACATGAATTTAGCTTGGCCTATATACAGAGTACAGTTAAGTGGAGAAAACTGGACACAACTTAAAGAGGGTATGGCAACAGACACAGTGTTTTGCATCAAGTGTAGCTGCGCAATATCACAGCCGATGATTTCTGAAAATATATTAATACGTCAACTGGTGACGTCAACACAAGAACTGTGGAGTAATATTAACATAATAGTTTTCGCCAAAGTTAATATAATTCAGACACCATTATTTCACACTGCACGTCCTCGCACAGAGTGAGACTGAAGACAGTTTTATTAAATTCAATTAAAGTCACTGATGATCCATCGGTTACTTAAACCTCTGGCCTGACCCATAATCACAGTGAGAGACAAATCTATTTTCGAAAAAGGTTTTAATTTAGTGACTGTGCTGATCAAGTGTGCCGATTTATGTTTATGCTGGTGGAATAAATAACTGTTGGAAAAAAATGGAGAAGCTAAGGGTGACAAGTAGGAGCTGGAATTCCACTAAAAGCAGATTCTACCAATACATGAAACAAAAGCTGCAAGAGAACGATGAGGTAAAAAGAACAGAGACTAAAGTAATTTTGATGTCCAGTTTTTTTGTTGTTTTCAAAACAACAAAACACTGTTAGGTCTCAAAATGATGACTATAATTATAAACTGTATCTCAGGATGACGGTGTGTTGTTTAAAATGACTTCAAACCAGCATCTTACGCCGGTCTTTAATTGAGAACCCTACAGACACCAACAGAGTGCCGGCCTCTGCGGACCCTGTTGTCCAAAAACAGCTACCAGGCAGAAATGGGTGAGACAGAACTGGCCAAAAGGCTCTTGTGTTTGCCTTTTGTAAACTGTGTAAACTTTTTATTCATTAAAAGTAACTCAGTATACATTTTAGTTCCCTTATTCTTCTAGTAAAAAGACTCTACACAGAAGAAGAAGATGCAGCCATTTTAAAATACTTAAATGACCACAAAGAGAAGATGGGCAGATTCAAGTGCTGGAAAAGAATGGAGGAGCTCGGGGTGACCAATTAGAGCTGGAATGAAAAGCCGATATTACCAGCAAAATTAAGTGAATAGAACAGAGACTAAAGTAATTTTGATGCTAAGGTTTCTGTTCCAAAACAACAAAACACAAAAACGTTAGGTCGTTTTGGATGCAGCCACTAGAGGGAAGTATGTTTTAACATGTCTCAAAACGATGACTGTGAGTAACAGCTGGATCTCAGGTAATGGTAAGTAACCCAGATGAAATTTTGTTTTAACTTCCAGGATATAAAAGTTTGAGGTGCCTTCATTTTTATCTCTTCTTTCAAGGTATTAGTATATATTAGTTGGAGGGGGGACAGGAAATGGATGTTTCACATCCTTCTAGTGGTATTATCACTTCACCACTAACGCATTCAACAAGTTAGTTTACACTGGGCAGTAACTGTTGTGGTCTTGCTGAACAGTGCATGGTTTAAAATGACCAGCATTTTACCATTTTCATTTTTTATTTATACACTAGTACAATAAGGGAACCAAAGTGTATACTTAGTTTTACACTTAGTTAACCACCAAGGCACCACTGCCCCACAGTTGGACAGAGAACTGTCATCAACGACAGCCCGGACTGTCTTCCTCTTGAGATCAACTCTCAAATATGAAGAGGTGGGTCCTGGAGCAGGGGTCTTTGGCTCAGGAGGCTCCGTGTCTAATACACTGTCAGGACTGATGGTCTGAAGTGTCTGGGTTCTACCTGCTCCCTTGGTCCTGGTCTAGGGTTGGACTGTGTTGAGGACTGTACTGTAGGCGGGGCTGATGGTGGTACATTCTTCACCTGAGTTACCTCAAGTTGGACATCAACAGCATTACCCTCAGCAGTCTGTAAACATGAATACACAGTCTTAACCTGAGGAGAATTTCTAGGTAGAGTTAAACTACAGTGAGGACACCAAGTGGGTTTGCAAGGTTCATGCAGAGCTGCAGCATCAACATCAAGCCTCTTGCGGGTTGAACGCCACAGTGGTTGCTCTTCCAGCTCTCTGGAGGCCTCTGGTATCTGATTAGGAGAGGGGTCCCCTCCTGGTCCTCTTCTTGTCTACATTCTTTTTGGGGAGAAATGGATGCTTGTTACGCTACAAAAGAAAAAAGAAAAAAAAAGTCCCAGGGATCACATGCTATACTTGAATGTAAGTCCACTTTAAGAAAAAAAAAAAAACACATTAAACAAATCAGATCAAGACAAGAGCAGAAACAAAAAGTGCATAACTAGAATATAAAGCATGTTTTAGCCAGTCCTGTCTGAAGGTACATTACATTGGGTGGACTCTCAGCAGTGGGGATGGATTGAAAGACGGTGGTAGGGCTGGCTGTAGACTTAGGCCAATACTAAGTATGGTTCTCATGAAAATACATCCGGAAATACAAATACCGCCCTTGTTCAAATTATGCAGACACCACAAAGTGAGACCAAACACAAGAGCTCAGCTTTGCGGCCTACACACGAATAAACTATTAACTTAAACACAAACGGAAAGTACAATTTTAGAAAAAAAATAATTATTATTAAACAAACCACACAAGACAAGGTTTAGAAAAAAAAATATTATTAAACAAACCACACAAGACAAGTGCAGAAACGTGAAAAATAAGGTATATGGAAGTATAGTATGCTTAACATTCAGCGTGGATGTTACCGCCAAAAAGAGGCAGTATCGGGTTGTTAACCGGGGCTGAAGCACTTCAGCCTCCTGCTACATATTAATCAATTCTCATTCTTTGTTAGAAAGGCAGTAGCTTTACTTATAAAGTTAGGACAGTCGATTAAAATAGTTCAATGTATCGGCAGTACCACGTGGAATCACTAATAAAGACGAAACTTAGCAAAAACAAACCACCAACTTACAGATGCAGATACGGATAAACACACGAAGCGTGTTATCTCTCCATAGAGAAAGGTCTGTGGAAACATCGAGTCTTCGTGTAAACCGGCCATTGTGGATGTTTAGTAGTTCGCCACGCGACCAACCGACAACCATCAAACAAATTTCACAGGTGCCATTACATTGCTGCTATATACGCATGCGCGGGATGGGCGCCATCTTGGGTAGCCCAAAACGGCAACACCACTTGGACAAACTTAGTGTTCAGCGACAGTGCGTAGGTGCCAGAAGTGCGCATGCGGGAAAGCGAAGCGCACAAAGCAGTTGTGTGACCTATCCGTGCTTTATCTCTACCGATACTGGCCACAAAACTAACAATGGTTACTCGTTAATAACGAAAAAATGTACATAAAATGAAATAGTAGAGAGCTGTGCCTGATATCTAACTGCGCGATCCAATACAAACTGGGTCACATGACGCGTGCCCGTTTCTGTTCCTCAGCATATCACCAACATAAACTTTACAGAACTATTTGTTATATAGAGTGACTCTCTATAGTCCGTGTAATGTCTTTAATGTGTGTGCGAGAGAATTGCTCCTGCTGAGCTACAATAAAGTGCAGAGAAAAGTCAGCAGCGGAGACAGGCAGTACTCTTCCTCAGCTCAAGGGGGCGTCTGAAGTTCAAAATTAAACTTGTGCTGCACGCATCTCTATACTTTAATTTGTTTACACAAGGGTGTTCTGTCCATTTCTATAAAAGAAACGTTTTGTAACGTTTGTGTTGGTGTTAGTGGAATTGAAAGCAGAATGGTGATGGGATATGAAGCATCACCAGGTGCATGCTTCTGTGAGAGCTGCACTTGACCACACGCTCTGAAGTTAATTAGTTTGTGGTACATTTCCTCCTTTTCTCATCTGATGCTAAACAGTTGTGTCTGTCAGAGAGACTGAAGGGGATACTGCAGCAGCAGAGCAGGGTAATGCACATGTTAGTATAGGAAAGGTAAACGCATTAAATTACTTGACATGAACAGAACATGTGCAGAAAGTTTTGAACTTTAGTAAAAATTAATTAAAAAAAGCAGAGTGGGTGAAGTACAGGAGCTTTTATTTATTTACAAAGACACTAACATCTACAAGAACTGACAACCACTAATTAGGATTTCATGAATAAATAATTTATTTCAGGTGTCACGTGACAAATGAATGAACATCAGATATCAGACAATATCAATTTCCTTGTTACGCAATGTCACATTTAAATTTAGTTTGCCAGTAGTCGGTTGGTCGTGTGGGGAAGTTGTTCTTAGGTGACAGAATTTAACATCCACAATGGCCAGTTCGTACCAAAACCTGGACCACGTTTTTTTATCCATGTACTTCTGTATGGTGGTGGTTTTTACCAAGTCTCGTCTTTATCAGTGATCCATATACACCGATTTCGTGGCTGCGAGGAGCAACAGAGACTGACGAGCACCCAAGAGCATAAACATAAATCGGCACCCTTGATAAGCACAGGGCAGTGCGGACCCCTGACCGCACTACTTAAACCTCTGGCCTGAGCCATAATCACAGTGAGAGGCAGATCTATTTCCTAGTTTTTAGCACATGTTGAACAACATACTTCTCTCAAGTGGCTGCATCCAAAACAACCTAACATTTTTGCCCTTGTAACAACAAAGAAAACTTGACATCAAAATTACTTCAGTCTCAGTTCTATTCACCTCATTGTTCTCTTGCTTCTTTTGAACAGTGGGCAACCTTTAAGCGCCTGGGGAGCAGTGTGTGGGGATGGTGCCTTGCTCAGAGCACCTCAGTGGCTTTTCATTGAGTTCCAGCTCTGATTGGTCAACCCTTAAGCTCCTCCATTCCTTTCCAGCACTTGAATCTGCCCATCTCTTCCTTGTGGTTATTCAGATATTTTAAAACACCACATTTTCCTCTAGTGTGTAGTCATTTCACTAGTAGAAAAATGGAACAAAAGTGTACACTTAGTTACTTTTAATGAATAAAAAAGTTTGCACAGTATACAAAAGGCAAACACACTGTTCTGTCTCACCCATTTTTGCCTGGTAGCTGTTTTTGGACAACAGGGTCCATCGAGGCCGGCACTCTGTTGGTGTCTGTAGGGTTCTCAATTAAAGACTGGAGGTCTTGAATCGAAGTAATCAAGGCTTTTTTTAAGATTGAGAAAAGCACATAGAAACAACACACTGTTCAGCTAATCCACCTAAAAAAACATCTGCACCAAGAAAAACAGAACATTCACTGCTCAGTGGAGACTCACTTCATTTGTTCGCTCCATCAATGCGTTGACTTCGCTGAAAATCCTTCACCTGGAGCTGAGTGGAACTCACAGCAGAGTCTTTGGTCACAGGTGACTGTGAGGAAGGAGGAAATAAGAAAGGAAAGTGAACTACCAGCAATTTGTGCTAAGACAGTTGCTGAGCTGAAAGCGGGAATGAAGGCGTGGACGTTGCCGCCAAAAAGAGGCAGTATCCGGTCGTTGACCGGGACTGACGCACTTTAGCCTCCTGCTACATATAAAGGACTAAGAAAACTTAACATTTCTCATTCTTTGTTATAAAGGCACTAGCTTTACTTATAAAGTTAGGACAACCGATTAAGATATACAGCTCAATTTATCGGCAATGCCACGGAAAGACAAGACTTTGTAAAAACCACCAACTTACAGATGCACACGGATAATCACACAAAGCGTGTTCTCCCACTCTATAAAGGATGTTCTGGGGAAACTTCGAGCCTTCGTATAAACCGGCCATTGTGGATGTTAAGTAGTTCGCCACGCAACCAACCGACAACTATCAAACAATTTTACATGTGACATTAGGACGCTGCTATTTACGCATGCGCGAGGTGGGCGCCATCTTGGACCGCCCAAGACGGCAACTCCACTGGGACAAACTTAATAAGTGAAAATGAACTGTCGCTGCCCAATTTCAGTTGCGCATGTAAGGCGCATCTGAAATTGGGCAACTTAAACTTAAAACCTCTTAAGTTTAGTAGGGAATCTCTTCACACTCAACGTTAATAAAACAAAGTTAAAAATGATGGCTTCTGACTATCAACCATTCCTCGTCGTCCACTCCTCCACGGTGTATAGTGTTGTGTATATAAAGTAAAGTGTGTTATAAGTGTGTTTATAAATACTTTTGAAAATTATATGTGTTATACTACTCTGCCATAAAATAATAAAACATAATAATAATAACAACAATAATAATTACTATTATAATTATTATAAAAATATTTAGACGAGGAAACAAATATTCATAATCACCAAAAGTGTAGCAAAATGGCTTAAATAAAAGCAAATTAATAAAAAAGTTGACTGATGACGACTTAACTTTACTTAAACACCAGAGGGAGCCATAGACCAACAAATTCTTCCGTGTGTCGTTAGTGTGACACAATTATTGAGAAATGTTCAGAAGGTTCGTTTTTGTGTAAAAATAAAAATAAGCCGAAAAAATGAAACCGAACTATTCAGCAATAAATAAATAAATACATATCACTTTTGAGAAATGACATGTTTTGAAACTTAAAGTTTAAAGAGAGAGAGAGGGGGAGAGAGAGAGCACGAGGGGGGCGTGTCCCAGTTACTTCCCCTCCTCCTCCCCCTGCTCCCGAACACTCGGTTTCAGGCACCGTCAGTCTTGGATCAGGTCATACCACGACTGTACTGGAGGACGAAGTCCTGTCAAGAACAGGATAACATCACGGACCAATTGGATACCAGGTTCTGAGGACTCTATTCCAGGAATTATGTGAATTATGTTATATGAGATTTGACTTTATCACATTTCTTTGAGTTCCTCCTCGATTTAAAGGAGTAAAAAAAACGCATCTCCCCCGGAGATGGAGCCTGAGGAGGGGAAGATCTCCGTGTGGGTTTGCCGAGAGGAGAAGCTCGTCTCTGGCCTCACCAAACGAACCACCTGTGCTGATGTGGTTCGAGTCCTGCTGGAGGAGCAGGTCCTGGGTCAGGGCGCCGCGGCAATGCTGTCCAGTTCTCCTGAGTCCTACTGTGTGGTGGAGAAGTGGCGAGGCTTCGAGAGGATTCTGCCGAACAAAACTCGGATCCTGCGGCTGTGGGCTGCCTGGGGAGAGGAGCAGGAAAACGTACGCTTCGTCCTGGTGAAGAACGCAGCGTCTTTGCCCAACACCGGCCCCCGCAGCGCTGAGGCCCGGGTGGTGCAAAGTCGGGAGAGCGGGTGTCCGGGCGGTGCGCTCGGCAGAGGCACGTCCAGGAGCTGCTGGAGCGCAGCGGCCGCCGCCGCCAACCTCACCCAGGAGAAGCAGAGGCGCATCGTGCGCAAAGCTTTCAGGAAGTTGGAGAAGATGAACAAAAAGAAGGAGCAGACGCTGTGCAAAGACCAGAGCTCGGTGGAGAAGATGGAGACGCTGGTGCATCTGGTCATCTCTCAGGACCACACCATCCGCCAGCAGATCCACAGGCTGAAGGAGCTGGACCGGGAGATCGAGCGCTACGAGGCCAAAGTTCACTTGGATCGCATTAAAACGCACGGAGCCAACTACGTGCAGGACACGTACATGATGGACACCTGCGGCCACGCACCCACTGTCTCCCCAGACTGCGTGAAGAGGCACAGTCCCAGGGCGCAGTGGCAGGACGCGCCGTGCGCACCCGCGGAACCTGCGCTGGCGCAGTTCGAGGAATACGCGCGTTGCTGCGAAGAGGTGGTGCGGCTACAAGAGGAGCTGACGGAGCGGGAGGCGCTGGTGGAGAGCATCTCAGGTGAGATCCAAGAGGAGTTAAACCGGAGGTGGATGAAGCGGAGGCGCGATATCGGGAGAGCTGAGGAGGAAGCCGTGGCAGCTGCTGCCGTCGAGGCAACGGAGTTGCGGCTGGCAGCTCTTGGCGGCTCTCCTGCAGCTGTGGAGGCAGATGTTGAGAGTTTGTCTAAGAGTGAACTCGTCCTGGAGGAGGAGGAGGAGGAGGAAGAGAGGATCCAAACACAGCTAGACACCAGTCTGTACATCGGCCTGCGGCTGAAGACGGACCTGGACACCATCAGAAGCGAACTGGACCTGAGTCTGTTCCTCTGGGAGAGTAAAGAGGGAGAACTGCTGGAGCTGCTGGCCAGAGCTGAGAGCACAGAGGTGGAGCAGGTGACTGATGGTGGGGAGGAGGAGGAGGAGGAGAAGGAGGAAGAGGAGGAGGGTGAGGGTCACCTGAAGGGTTCAGTCGGCACTGACAGTGAACCTGTAACCACAGACAGTACCAGTGGTGCTGGGGGCTGGATGGAGCAGGCCAGAGGTTTGTCCAAATCCTGCAACACCAACGACGATGACTCGGACACAGGTTTGAGCTCCATGCACAGTCAGGACTCAGACAACCCACCTGTCTGTGAGTCACTGGTGTAGAACCTACTGGAAGTTCATTTGTTGGAATTTTCTGCAAAAACAAAATTCAATAAAACTCAGGGTCAGAGAATCAGGGTGGAGATGTTCCTCCACCTCCTCCTCCTCCTCCTCCTCCTAAAGAGCACCTCAGGGTGGAGACTGTTCACCTGCAGCAAAAATGTAGCTGTTGCACAATAATAAGCTGGGACCATTTTAGATCATGAATGTTTGATGTCAGACACAAACGTAGGTTTTAAAGTTTTAAATCTGGGAATTTGAGGTTAGGTCATCACGATGAAAACAAAAACGAATGAAAAGGTGAATTTAAACTCTTAAAGTCTGGACTCAAAAAAAAAAAGTTTTGGCTGTTAAATTCATTCACCTTAAAATAGACTAACTGCTGGTGTTAGATTTGTTTACATCATAGTCTAGCTAAGTTTCTGAGCAGCACCGTGGGCCACATTCCTTTGGACCACAAATAATGTGGACAGAACTATTTATTCTGGCTTTATGTCGGACCAAATAAAGGTTGTCTAGTCTACACGTTAGATCCAGCGTCTAGCCTACGTTATTCTGGTCTGTTTCAGATGAGAACTACTATGTGCCCCATAGACCAAATGTATTACTTTAATAAATTGCCTTTAAAGTTAAAAATGGCTCTGCTTCCCTGTGAGATAAAAAAACAAACAAACAAAAAACAACAGAAGCAGCAACAAAAATATACTTCAGATACTGCAGTACTGTAGTACCTGCTCTAAAAGTGTAGTTTTCACTTTAACGATGATTGGTTGGAGATGTTTAGTCTGCCCTATCAGCACGAGATGATTTTATTTATTTCAGTCTTCACCTTCATTTTGTGTGAGAAAGACGGAGAAGATCCCGACCCGTCACCTCTGTGGGCGTGGCCTCCAAAATGTCATTCATAAATTTGAACAACATTATTTAAAATACAATAATATGTTTACAACGCAAGAAAGTGTCTCTATTATTTATGAAGCGTTTCTATAATCCAGAGTGTGGGCCACATTACTAATGAGTTGTTTATGTAATCCAGAGTGTGGGCCACATTACTAATGGGTTGTTTATGTAATCCAGAGTGTGGGCCACATTACTAATGGGTTGTTTATGTAATCCAGAGTGTGGGCCACATTACTAATGGGTTGATTACTAGTGTGGGCCACATTACTAATGGGTTGTTTATGTAATCCAGAGTGTGGGCCACATTACTAATGGGTTGTTTATGTAATCCAGAGTGTGGGCCACGTTACGAATGGGTTGTTTGTATAATACAGAGTGTGGGCCACATTACTTATGGAATGTTTCTATAACCCAGTGTCTGGGCCACATTACTAATAGGTCACTTCTATAAACCAGAGTGTGGGCCACATTACTAATGGAATGTTTCTATAATCCAGAGTGTGGGCCACATTACTAATGGGTCATGTCTATAATTAAGAGTGAACTGTACTTCCTGGGGAGAGAACACCCACCTACAGCACTGTAGGTGGGTGTTCTCTCCCCACGAAGTGCAGTTCACTCTTAATGAATGAACTTGAGTTGAACATCAAGTGTTGAACCCACTTCACAGTCGGATCTTTTCTGCTGTTGAGTCACTTTGGTCAGCTTCAATCTGCGGAAAATCACACACACACACACACACAAACACACACACAGTCATGAACAGTTTTTGTTGTTTGTCTGTTGTTAATCCTTTAATGTAATCTCCAGTTGACGGTGCTGAAATGTGACACCACCTTCATCAGTGAGGATCAAGTCTCCTCTTCACTTTCCCTTTCCACTCCTCCTGTTTCCTCTCACCAGGATCAGCATGACAAACGCTTTGGATATAAAACCGTGTGTGTTATCTGTAATGGGTTTACAGACCACACACATCTGTGTTCATGACACGACTGTATCTGTCTGAGCGTCTGTGGGATTAGCACAGCTGATCACAACAAAATTACACTGATGTGGCATTTTCTAAAGAAAGAAAGTCAATGACATCAAAGAACAAAGATCAAACAGAGCAGCTAACAAAGCAGCTGACTAACCGCTAAATGACTCACACTTAAACCATCAACCACCAAAATATGAAATGAATACGGCTGTAGACAAAAACTAAATGACTAATTAACCCAGAAGAAAGAACAACAGAGAGAGAGAACAGCTAATGCTAATTTTAATAATTTTAGCTTTTCACTGAAATGAAAAGGTTTTAAACAAATGTTAAATGTTCTATACAATTTTATCAGCATGAGTTCTTTTTACTTGTTTAAAAGGACCAAAAAAAATTATTTTTTAAAAATACACGTCAAAGGATTCAATAAAAGATATATTTGACTTTTTTTAATTCACAGAAGCATGAATACTATAATAAGATAAACTCAACATTTTGTAAACCCTAATGTGTCTAAAAGCCTATGTCCTATATCAAACCTATGTGATGTGACATTGTTACATGACATAGGTTTGACGTGAATGTTTCCAGGTGTGTCTCTGTACGCCGCCGTCTCGTCAACACTCAAACATGCAACATAAAAAAAAAGCTCAGGGCAATAAATAACTCCAATCAAAACCAGCAAAAATACTGGCAGCGTTAAATTTAATTAACGAGTGTGAATAACAACCAATGAAACCAGAACCAGCTCTTCAGGTTCTGGAGTCTCAGTCCACCAACACCTGTTGCCACAAACACGGTGTTCAAAATAAGGGCCGCGGGACACAGAAGCTGCCAGTCACAGCATTGGTTTAAATTTTAAAAATTAAAATATCATTAGCACAGGCTGCTTTTAGCCATAGTTTTTTAGGCTATAGAGACGTGTATTATTAATGATCAACGGTAACAATGGTCGCTTAGTGGTTAAGGAAGCAGACTTGGGTCGGGAACGCTTCAGGTTCGAATCCAACAGCTGCCAAGTTGGTGCTCTGAGCATGAGCACCGTCCCCGCACACACTGCTGCCCACTGCACTTTTAGCCATTTCCTGGCTAACTGTTAGATATCAACGACTCACATATTTTAAAGCTATTTTTGCTAACTCAGTTTTATTTCTTTGTTTTGCTCTTTAAGCAACACTAGAATTTTCACTGGTCATATTGAGCCAAGTTTTAGACAGTTTTATACTGCACTGAAACGCACAAAGGTAAGGAGGAGACGAAGCAGTGAGACGAGTGTGAGGTGAGGCAGTCTGTGGTTGGACGAGAGGGAGGACGACATGATTTATGATGTGGACCAGCCGGTTCTGTTCTCTCTTTTATCACTGCTGCTGATGCTACTGCTGATGCTACTGCAGATGCTAGTGCTGATGCTGTTACCGCAGATCCAGACTCAGAGTCAGCAGCTGTTTGCTTCAGATAAAAAGGAAAAACCAGAGGAACTGGACTGCAGTCTATCTGAGACCTAATCAATACATCAACTAAATAATGAAGAGCTGCAGCCAATCATCATGCAATGCACATTCACAGCCACATTAGCACGAAGGCTAACCCTACAGAACGGTCAGTTAACCTTATCCAGAACTAGACTCTATGCCCATGTCTATTAAAAAAAGTTAGGAAGTAAAAAAAAACATCTGTGTAATTTTTTTTCAGGCATTTGATTGAAATGCGCCTTCTCCACCTCCCCTTCCTCCTCCTCCTCCTCCTCCTCATCATCATCATCATCATCAGCACCAACAGATAGAATAGACGGAAACAGACGCTGCCGTTGACCTTCCTGTCATGCACTGCAACCACTGCAGCTTTTGTGCTGAACAAACACCTGTGTGTGTTCGTGTGTGTGTGTAATCACATTTTCCTGTTTCCATATTTTAATCTTTAGTTTCCTCTGCTCAGCCGTGTGTGTGTGTGTGTGTGTTCACTGCGATACCTACCAGCCTCGGAGCTGTGACATCACCAATTCGTTTCCTTCTCCGGAGAAGGTGGAGGAGAGTATTTCTGAAATATGGAAACGGTCAGTAAAACCTCCAAGTCTAATTTTCTGCAGCTCTAGAATACCAAGAGCGAGGGAGCTGTCCCAAGCGGTCTAGGCCTACAGCAGTGTCAGAGAGAACTAAATGGAGGGCCACAAAGTCAGTCAGTCAGTCCCTGAGTCTCAGGGTTTGGAGCTGATCTTCTTCACTCTCTGTGATGAACGACTTCTCACATGTTTATTATTATCATTTTTTATAGAAAATATGAACCTGCAGCTTCTTGATTTAATCTGTTGGACGTTGAGATCAGATCAGGGTCGTCTTGTTTCTTAGATTACAACAACAGTCAAAGAATGTCATGGATCAGCCAATCATTAACCTCAGCTTCCTGCTCGTGGACAGGAATGTTTTCCTGATGACAGCAAACCTTTACCACCACGCCCACCCCCCAGCCCCCACTCTCCCATCTCCCCCAACACCACCTTCACCTCAGTACACAGTATTCTGAAGGTCATGGAGGAAGTGTCAATGTTTGACCCTGACTTCATTCTTTCTGTTTTGCCTTAGAACAAACTTGACTTTAAATTAGTTTCCCGTGAATCTAAAAACAATGCACCTCCCCCTCCACCCCCCCACCCACCATTAAAATCACAGAAGGTTAATGTTTTTCCCACAGCTGGGAGCCTTGCACCAACCAACCACCCCTCCCAAAATTCCTCCACCCCCACTTCTCTGACCAGGTCCAGCAGTTAGACTTTGATCCTGAACCCACAGGTCAAACACTAACAAGGTCAGCCGGGGTCAAACACGGCCCGTGAGTTCTGTACATTCCACAGCTTTTAATAAGTCACGACTGAAAGACACAGAGAGGGAGATAAGAGACCAGCAGGAGCAGGAGCAGGAGCAGGAGGCAGAACCTTACCTTATGTTGTGCACCCGTTCCTCCATCACTGAAGTGTCTGTCTCTGCTGTCCATCCTACATCAGTCAGAAACATCTAGAAAAGAAAACAAACACTGGTCTTAAAAAAAAGAACTAACGACCAAAGACAGAGACGGACGTGTAGGAGACGAGTCTTTGTCTACGTTGAATATGCTGAAGATAACTGTAGTTCTTTAAATGTACGTAATTCAACTAAATTAAATATGAATCTGGTGAACTATAGGAGGAGAACGGACCTGGGACGGGTTTCTATGAACACAGTCCTAACAGAGTAGAGACATTTTTATCTCTGACTTTGACAGTTTTCTTTGTTCCACTGCCTGGCTTTGGGTTCAATCCATCACTTCCCTTCACTGGAGGCACGCAGGCCGGTGCACGTGCACAGGCACACACACACACACACACACATAAGGTGGGGTCCATTCACTCTCTTTTACATTTCTACTCTATAGCTTTTAGTTGGCTTTGCTGAATAAACAAGGCGTGGGCCAGAGCCGCCTCTCACTGAGCAGAACCTGTGCCTTCAGACTGACCTCTGGGGGTATGTGTGTGTGTGTGTGTGTGTGCTCAGGTTTGACTGCAATTATTCCTGCATAATTAGGCCATTATCAAGGTATATTATCAAATCATAATGAGATGATGAATTGGCTGTTAGCTGCTGGGGCGTGACGTCGATCCTGCACTGGAGGTCACGTGACTTAAGACTTTAAAAGTCGGCCAAACATAAAGAGCATATTTCAGCTTCACACTTTCAAACATGTGCTTTATATGAGAAATGACTTTTGGCCAGAAGGTCTTTACTTGACAGGCTAACAGTTAGCACACTCAGTGACTTCCACAGGTGAATGTCTGTGTCATTTAGTGTAAAAAAAACGTTGCATGCTCAGTGACTTCCACAGGTGAGTGTCTGTGTCATTTAGTGTACAAAAATGTAGCTTTTTAATAATGGATGGACATTAAAGGGTGATTCAGAGTTATATGCTGCCTTTTAATATTTGTACTTTGAATTTTAGTTTTGTTTGTTTTAGCATTAAGGCTATGGTTCAGGTTTAACCTTTGTTGATAGGATTGTTTCATGTAGAAGTGACAGTGCATCTGATGAAGATTATTGTTGCTAACTATAACATTTTGGCTAAATGTTTTGGCTGACATAGTAACATCCAGAAAAATAGCTAAATCCAGACAAACGTTCACAGACATTTCCTTCCTCATTAGCGACGGCAACACAGGCGTTGACATGATCCTTATGTGTGTTTGTGTGTGTGTGGATCAATGGACTGACTGATCAAACAAACGTGTGCGTGATTTTGTTTTTTACTCACCTGTGACTTGGATAAGATTATCTTTCACGTTGGTAAAGCTGCAGTACACTCCCACTAAAATACACACACAGAGAGACACACACACACACAGCTGGAGAGTAAGTGAACAACCAAGCTTCAGTTTCAGGTCTGAGAAGATATTTTTCTGTCTACCTGGGGGTGAAAGAGAAGATCAATCAGAATTGTTGTGTTTTTATAGGTGGCGCCTCTCGGTGGTGAACCTGCAACAATATCATTGTTACTTTAAATTGAGGGTAAAAAAATCTCTACATGAAAGAAACAGCGTATGTTCTGTTGTTTGGTCGTCACATGGATGATGTCATCACAGCTCACACTGCACACACACTTTATCTTTACAACTGTCAATTACACTGCGTGTGTGTCACGTGTCGAAAACAATTCACCTCAGGTTCAACCGACGGCTAGCTAGTTTCAGATTCATTTGTTTTTGTGGAGCCATAGATACACGACATCAACACCGTGTGTGTGTGAGTGAGTGTGTGTTCCGTCTTTTTGTGCTCTCAATCTACTGTTACATAACTCTTACTGCACCTGCATTTTCACAATCAACTAAACAACAGTAGAAACTAGAGGGGTGTGTGTGTGTGTTCAGTGGCGGACAGAAGAGAGGCGGTGAGTACAGAGTTGCTCCCACACGCCCGAACGTGCAGGTCGACACACTAGTGAGGATCAGGTGACACGCTGAAGCTTTATGAACACGAACACACACACACACACACACACACACACACAACAGTATGAATATTTAAATGTAACTCTGAGCTGGTCAAAGGTCAAAGGGCAGATCCGTTTCCTCACCGTCTACGAATTGGTTTATATTCATATACAAACGACTCCAGAACCCCAGGAGAGACGACCTCTGGAACCAGGTTTCTGTCACCGGTGGAACTGTTTGTGTGGCACTGGCTCAGCCGTGATTTTAATTTGGAAAAACACACCCTGTTGATCAGACAGCAGCTCAGAAAGACATGACCAAAAATAAATAATAAAAAAAAAGAAGATTTAATGACATCACTATATAGAGTGGTTTCCGTTGAACACCTGATTATAGAGAATTGAACATCTTCTGGTCACCGTAATCATATTAACGTCACTTGATGTTTCTGCCAGTTTGATGACATCATAGGTTTTCTATATTTTTTTTGTAACGCTAGCAGCTGCCAGGGGGAAAACCCCTAAAGAAGAAAAGCAGCAGGAAGACAGGAAAAGCCGAGCTCAGACAGGAAAAGCCGAGCTCATCTTCCTGAACGTCCCTGGAATTTCCACCATTCCCACATGAGGAACAACAAAGATTAAAGATAGTACAATCACAAAGAGCTTTAAATGCCCCCCCAAAAAAACCTAATATGCACAAAAAAAATCAATTAGCCAAAATGAGCAAGTGGTTAAAGATAAATAAGAAACTATTTAGAGAAATTAGCTGAAAAGATAGTTGAGAATAACCGTGGGTTAGTCATACGTTTTAAAAGATGGCTAACAGTTGGTCTGCGTCAATGTAAAAATATCCCTGTGTTAGTGTGCAGTTCCAGAACCTTCTCTGTAGTTGATGCTTTGTAACCTGATATCAGCAGATAAGAACTTCCTTGATGCTGAAATGATGCTGAGCCAATGACTTGAATGAAAACAAATCTGTGTCCTGAAGACAGAAGACATCACCTGACAGACCAACAAAGGCGGGGAGAGGCGTGGGGGGACGCAGGGGGGGTTGGTGAGAGACAGATACCACAGAGGAACGTGGAGAAATTCCATGCTTTTGTCTGAACCTTCTCCTCTGCCCCGACTCTCGCCTCATGTTTTGTCTGCTGCTTTCTTCACATGTTGACAAATAATTCCACACAGGAGACACGACCTGGAGACAACGCAGCACAGCCACCGCTGCTGTAGGTCACATGGTCACGTCATAATGTCGAGTGACTGCGGTATTCTGGTGGTGTGACCCCTAAGGTCAGGTCCCTGACCCTTCACCCCTGCACAGTACAGCCCACTGCATCACATCTGATACTATCTGACAGAGAGTTCTCTGATCCTGAGACAGTATAAAAACTATTGTAGGAAGTACAAATATAGTATCAAAACTACAGTAAAACTACAGTATTAAAACTACAGAAGAAAGAACCAAAATTTGATTTGAAACACTATAAAACTACAGTTTTACTGCAGTATAAATACTACAATATTTGAATTGAAACACTATAAAACTATAGTTTTACTGCAGTATAAATACTACAATTTTATATATAACTATAGTGTTAAAAACTGCAATAAACGTGGAGTTACTAAATGATGAAGTCACAAATATCCACTAGGTTCTCAGTTCTGATCCCGAAAACACAAAATGGTGGACAGACATTCTTAAAGGTCATGAAGAACATCTGTAGAACGTCCAAGTCTTCTTGTTGTGTTTGTTTTCATCCTCTTCTTCACAGAAGAACACAGACGTTCTCAAGCCTTTCAACAGCGTCTGCTCCACCGCTGCCCTCCATCCAATTTACAATAATCCTCCCTCTGACCCCTGACGACCCCTGACCACCCACACTAAAACAACCTAAACCACTTGACACAAGGACTCAAGAGGTGAAGAATGACAAGTATGTACACACACAAACACTAGTCCAGTACACAGATTTGCACAAACAAACACACATTTGTGATGCTGGTGGCTTAGTGGTCCGGAAGGCTCCTGGTTCGAGTCCACCAGCTGCCAAGTTACCACTAAGGTGCTCTGAGCAAGGCACAAATAATTCACTTTCACTTAACAGAAGTTTTGTGACAAGCACTCATAAGAATAAAATGAAAGTTCCAAAACCCAGGTTCCACTGTATATACTGTTTCTTTTGTCACTGCCCGACCTGATCCAGACCTTCTGTCATTACTTATATTCATGACAAGGTTTAAGGTGAGGTTCTGCAGACTTTGACTCCTTGACTCCTCCTTTGACTTCTACCAGCATCAAACATCCATCAGTTCTAGTTCAAACGAAGCTCAGATCGTCAATCCTTGGTGGAACTGTCTTTCTTACCCAAAGCTAACTTTCTAACTCTGGTCCTTACCTGTCAATTTTCCCACACCGACACAATGACATCACTCCTGCTCCTGCCCTCACATACGGGCTGCTGACCTCTGCCCACACACAGGCTCCACCTCCTGGCTGTGAAAAACAGGTTAAAACTGTTTAAAAAAAACATTCAGTGTTCTTGAATCTCCATGTAAAGTACCATGTAAAGTACCAGCTTCACCTGAGCTTTTGTTGGTGACGTCCAGGTCGTCAGTAGTCGGACCTGTCTGGACGCCGGACTGGGCTTGAGTTGTGGTTGAACAGGTACTGCTGGGCCAGACGGACCACCGGGTCAGAACTCTTTAAGCTCCTGAAACAGAACAAAGATTCTGTTCAGTTTTTTATGCAAAAGTGGATTAAAAATGAGGTTTTATAGAGTGAAGTGTAAATATCCCTGTGGAGGGAGGAGGGGGGGGGGGTCTCACAAGTAAAACACTTAAAAAGTCATAACATGTGCTGCTGTTGTGTGTGTGTGTGTGTGTGTGTGAGTCAGTGAGGGAACGCGTCCTTGTCAAATGAATTTTATCAGGGA